TTCCAGCAGGTGCAGTCCATGATGTATGACTTAATGGAGTGGCGGTCACAGCTTCTGTCTGGGACTTTGCCAAAAGATGAGCTCAAAGAACTCAAACAGAAAGTCACTTCCAAAATTGACTATGGTAACAAGTAAGTGGCCTACGTTGCTTCTGGAAAATATGATTAATTTTAAAGCACTCAACTAGAACAGAAATTATGGTAAAGTTTTCCTTTTTGCAGTTTTGTAACTCTTTAATGTGAGATGTAAACATACTGAATCTTCCTTTTTAAACTTGTTCCTGTTATTCCTGTGATACTAGTAGATACCGTGTTCAGACTTCTCATAGCAAATTGCTTTTTGAAAATATTAATTTATTTTTTAATTACAGATATATGAGCTCATCAGTTGTAAAGATCCGAGGTCAGATAACTGGCCTTTATATACACATATTACATCAGTATATTCAGGACCCAAAACTTCTCCATCCTTCACAAACACAGCCTACCTCTATTAATGTTATGCTACCACTTCAGAAGTGGTGTTGAGAGACCTTAGTGTGGTGGATGAATAGCAAAAGTCAAAAATGTACAGAGCTTCTGCCAAAGGCACCACTCCACCAGCCTACCCACCCAACCACCCCCTCAATTTAATAAGGAATTTCCAGGTAGAACTCTGGTTCTGGTAATAAAAGTGAAACTGGTAGGGATAGAATTGTTATTTGACAAAATGCCTTGTCTGCTTCTTGCTAATGAACAGTCACTGCAACACAACACGTTTTTGGCAACAATGGGGTTATTTTGGGTTGAGTGGTGTTCTACCATCTGATAAGGGGGGAGAAAGAGCTTGGTAAACAAAACTTCGTAGTATTGGTTTTATAGGCATTGGAATCTGCTTGTAAACTATATTTAGCTATTGCAAGTGACTGTGGTTATTGTGGCCCAAAGGCCTACATGCAGCTGAAAGTCTTGAGTTAGTTGTGGCTAGGCATAGAAAATGACCACGAGATGTAACGAAACTCTTACCTTGTTCACTGTGACTTGGATGCACAGATTTCTTACAAATTGTATTCTTACTGAACATACTGTGGAAAAACACATATCCTGCTATGCTTTGTCGAGCTGAATGTTCACTCCAAGACAGATTTTACTTTGAAATGCTCCGATCAAAGAAGCCCAGCTCTGATTAAGACAATGCTAACATTTCTTTGCTTTCAGACTTATGTTTTCACTCTCTTCTTTCCAAATCATAAGACAATAAGCTGTTTCCTTTAGAGGAGCAGAGGTGGAGGGGATGTTTAAAATGGTTTGGGATTGTATAGAGGAAAAGTGAAAGTTGGTTAGTATTTAAGTGCCTGAAAGTATGGGGCTGAGTTGTGATGTATGAAGGAAATTTGCCAAACTGTCGAAAAGGAGTAGAGGGGAATGACAATGGAGGCTGAGTGGGTCATTGTGGGACAGGAGATTGAATGCCAAATCAGAAGAGGTTGTGGATAATCAGGTTAAGGTGATGAAGACAGCTTGCAGTCTGATACAGACTGCTTCCATCAACATTAACAGTGCCATAAGGGCAGCCAGTATGTTTTAGAAAGGTACAGTCAGGCATGAAGTAGACCGATTTTAGAGGGGGGTGGAGGAGTGAGATCCCGGATAGGCGAGAAATGCTGTCTTTTGGGTGAGGTGACACCATGGCATTGTGGGCAAGAATATCTAGGATGTATGGAGGCAAGACTTGGCTTTTGAATGTTGAGGGGGGCGAGGAGGGGAAGAGCAGAAGGAAAAAAGGCATGATTTGTATGTGAGCAAAGGGGTACAGAGCATAGTAGTTAAGTAACAGGACTGGGAGAGTAAGAGAGCAACATAAAAGCAGAAGGTAACAGGAAAAACCTACGCATCTTGATTATAAAGGTTATACGTTAAAAAGCAAAAGAGATGATGACTGCTTGAAGTCATTGAACATGGTGAATCTGTTTTATGTGATAGGCATTTAAATACTTTGGTGACATTACTATAAATTCCTAAGATGCATAAATACTGTACAACAGCTTGAAAGGAAAATCATGGTGTTGAGTTAAATTTTGCTTCAATCAAATACTGTTACATGTATTTAAACTTTATTGCTTTAAAACTTGAAGCAGCTCCTTGTGTGTACATTTCTAAGCTCTATTTTTATAGAAGGAAATAACCTTGCCATTATGCTCTTTGTATTTTCACAGGATACTTGAGCTAGATCTAACAGTTAGAGATGAAGATGGAAATATCTTAGATCCAGATAAAACTAGTGTCATCAGCCTATTTCATGCACATGAAGAAGCAACTAATAAAATCACTGAGCGAATTAAGGAGGAAATGGTAGGAATGACTGGCCAAACTTCATGCTTTCTTTGCTAAAATAAAAATGAAAAACCAGTACAAGAGTTGAAAGATGTAACCTTCTACTATAGAAGTCGGTGGAAACTTTTGCCTCTGATTGAACTAAGAGTAGATTCACATTAATGTGTTATAAATCTGGCTAAGCCTCAAATTAAGTTAGTTGCATTTGTGCACTGGGTTCAAGCTGTGGGCGAGGCTGAAAGCCTGTGTCTAAATCTGCTTCTAAATCCATTCTTGGATTCCTGAATTGAAATATGTCTCCTCATTCCATCTGTGGGCTACTCAATTGGCCGATTTGCATAGTGATTAGTTAGATATTTGGAGTTCAGGCTGCAAGCTATGACTAAGCAAAGCACTTTTTTTACAAGATCTTGTGACAACACTAGTTGTGTGCTATGTGTTGCTGCTTGCTAGTTTGATGGAGTTGAAGAATTTAAGCTCAATAAAGAACTCAGGTGAATTCAGCACAATCTTACTAACACCAGAAGTTAGCATGCCTTAGCAAAGCTGATGAGTGCCTAAATGTCATCTTGTAAAATGCAAAGCAGGTGACTGTACTTCCTTGATGTTTTTCTACATGAAATCTGTTCAGGGACTTGTAAGATACTTGGGCTCTTTTCTTCCTTCATGAGAAAATAAACAGTAATAAAGCCAGTAAAGCACTTGACAAGAAAAAGTTGGGCTGTCATGACACTTCAATAATGCCCATGACGAATCACTGGAAAACACCTTAGGAGTTTTTCTCATCAGTGTCACTAAATAAATCTTGCTTCCCAGACATCAAAATGTAATTAACTGACAATATAAGGAAAATTAAACTTGGTAGTCTGCAGTAGACTGTATTGATTTGTTTAAAAAATAGAGCTAAACAATGGATAAAAAGTGCTTTAGGCCATCAAATGTTAAGTGGCTGTTTCTAGGTGGCTAAAAAGGGATGTCGGTAGCAATTAGGAGCCCATTTTTGAGTCAGTGAACCTGCTCAGCTGTCTCCTGATCTCAGTATGTAATTTGTTTGCTCTTCAAAGAGGTGGATCTTGTTTTGCTAGTTGTTCCTAGCGTGCTGAAACCCCATTAAGATGTGGATAGTAGGCCTTCTGCTATATCCAACTGGGTTCAAAAATCCTCTCTTTCAGACTTGCAGGCTTGCCTCGGCAGTGACAGCTTGATACTTTCTCTTCTCTTGAAAAGTGATGATAATGTTTCACTCTTTATGTAGTTACAAAGTGGCTGAAGAAGTGGCCCTAAGATATGAAAGTCATGGAACATCTCAAGTTGGAAGAGACCCGTAAGGATCATTGAGTCCGTCTCCCTGCTCTCTTCTCCGAAAGGGGTTTAAGTTCTTACAGCATAGCAAAAGCATTGTCAAATCTTTTAGGCATAGTCTTTTACTGGAATTTTAGAAAAGGACTTCAGAACAGTCTGAAAGCAGCCGGATTTTCTTGGGATGTAAGGTTTTGAATACATTCATGTACTGGAGAAAAACTTAACCTGGCTGTTTTCTCCTCAGTGAAAGTAAATGTTAAGATTTTCCAGAAAGGAAGGTTTCTGGAGGTGAAGAGAGCAGGGAAGAGAAACAGTTTAACTATTATTGGAAATACTCATAAAATAATCCCTGTTCCATTTATAAAAGGATATAAATTAATCCTTTATCCTTTATAAAAGGATATAGATTAACCTGGAAAGGATAATATGCTTAGAACCCCATACAAAGGAAGTTCCTACTTAGACTAAGTAAGTCTCCTAAGTACTGAAAAAGGTTGATTTAAGGCATCTCTGTCATCAGCTTTTTCACTACTTGCGCACCAAGGTGGCTCCCTAGTCTGGGTGCCGTGTTTTGAAGAACCCAGTCTGAGCTTTTTATGTCCTTGCATACAGTGAAGGCTCTGGAGAGGAAGGTGCGATCTTCCGTACCTATGTCACTTCTGCACCTTCTAACCTACTAACTTTCTAGCTTCGTAGGAGAAAAGGATGTTGGTACACTGGTGAAGCATTGCAGAGGATCAGAAACTTATTTGCTAATTATGTCTGCATTACTGTCTTTCAGAGGAATTTGCTGGAAACAAGCATTTTTATCCAAATTTTCTTATGTATTTTTGCTCCTATGTATGATAAAAATTGAAACTGCTTGTAGTATCTCACCATTTTAATTCATAGATTTAGCTAATGATTTTCCTCTTTCTGAGCAGTCAAAGGATCAACCAGATTATGCCTCATACTCCCGAATGTCTTCATCCCCCACTCACAGTCTATACGTCTTTGTGCGGAATTTTGTGTGCCGAATTGGAGAGGATGCAGAACTCTTTATGTCACTATATGATCCACAGAAATTAACAATTATAAGGTAAGCTTTCTTTTTTTTTTTTTTATTGCAGAAGAGTAGCAAAAGGAGCTAGCCAAAATGAAATAAAACAGTTGCCAACATGCTAGTCATTCAGAGGATATATAAATAAAAAGAAGAAAACAAAAAGAAGGGGAACTGTGGACAGATGTAGGTATTAGAAGCTACTAAGGAATTCCAGGGTAAGGGATCCCAAATATGTTGACAGGTAATTCCTGCATCGAACACTTCAGAATTTTGGAGAAGGCTGAAACCACTTCAAAGTCAAGAGATTGTTCTGATGGAGAATGTGGTGTGTAGAGCAAATTGCTGAAACAGGGGGAAGGGGACAAAAATGGGAGTAACTTATAAATTCAAAGATAGATTGCAATTCTGTTGAGTATCCCTGTCAAACAGGATGATGGTACCGTTTCTTCCAAAAACGGTGCCGTTCTGTCTTGTGTTCAAGTTATTTTTCAAAACTTACTGATGATATTTTGTATGGTATTTGTCTGGTATTAGACTTAAATAATCACCACAGACTATTGTGTGTTATGCAACCTTTGTTTTGTGCTGTGTTTTTTTTTTACTGTGAAAGGGAAGAACTTGAATTGAACTTGTTCGATCACATGACAGTAAGATATTTTTCTTCAAAACAGTGAGAACTACTTGGTGAGATGGGGGAGCAGAGGCTTTCCAAAGGAAATTGACATGCTCAACAATCTTAAAGTAGTGTTCACAGTAAGTGTGTTGTTCTTAGCTCATATTTGCAAATCAGATTCTCTCTTCTATGTGGTCGCTATCAGAACTCCTGAAGATTGAGCAAGACGCAGAAGGAAGCAGAAGTCATCTTAGAAACAGAGCAAGATGACCAGTCATTGAGTGCTTTAAGGCAGTGACAACACTTCCATGTCCTTTCCTCAAATCAATTTGCTGCATCATAAACTTACTAATGACTAAAATGTTTCTTTTCAGCTCTACCTCTTAATTGCTATAATTTTCTCTGTTTATCTTACCTTATACTTTCTTCAAACTTTTAACTGTCCGGTTTCTCATCCTTTCTGTGGGCTCAGTTTATTCCGTTGTGTGGGTTTTTTTTGTTTTGTTTTGTTTTTTCCCCACTGATTACTGAGGCTTAGTTTGTTATAGTGGAGGTCCTGTTTAAATTTCACAACTTGGTTCTTCCCCATATAATATTACAATTTTTTTGTTTGTATTTTAGGATCTTGGAAATAAAGACCTTAGCAGAGATAAAATTTATTTAGTTTGTCAAATTGTCCGAGTTGGAAGGATGGATCTCAAAGACAGTAACTCAAAGAAATACACACAAGGACTGAGGCGGCCTTTTGGAGTGGCAGGTAACTGACGTCCCCTGTGCGATGTCTGAAGCAGGACCTCAGTGGTACACGCGAGCCCTGGCCCATGGAATCTCTGCCAAGCCATTGCAGAACACAAGATAGCTGTGTCAACTGTCTTCCACATTTACATTTTTTAAGTCCATAAAGACTGTACCTACATTGGCTCTTTAGTTCAGGTCAGATATGTGCTTTTTGCATTTAATTTCCTAATAACTCATGCTTACTGCTATGCAGTGCAAACCAAAGCACAGTATCACAGTATAATAATAGAATTCCTTGCAGATGAAATAAATCCAACAAATTTGTCCTCAGAGCACCACCAATGCACTCATACCTGTACTGGCAGGATTAGATGAAAACTAGTCTGAAGCAATTCTTCCTTTACACAAAGTCATGTCTGCAGTGTGGACTTTGCACTGAATGTCGTGCCCCGCAAACCAACCTCTATTGGGCTACAGTGCTTACTACTGAAAAAATCTGTGTTTACCTTGAGGCACAAAAACATTAATAAACATTAATGATGGATCAGAGGAAATATTTTGCAATGCTATTGTATGTTTCATGATTTTTCTTTTACTTTTCTAGTTATGGATATTACAGATATCATAAAAGGAAAAGCTGAAAGTGATGAAGAGAAGCAGCATTTCATTCCCTTTCACCCGTAAGATAGTCATAGATACAGTTTTCTTTTAATAGGCACAAAAATATTTCAATAACTCTTTGGCTGTAACAATCTGTGAAATGTTTCAAGAAAAAATAATTTTTCCTTTTAATAATTTTATGTTGTAATAGATCTAACTATTTAGGAATCACTCTAAAAGGCGTTTCAGACTTGACAGGGTTACATAGCATGTTAAATAAATGTGTATTTATATGAATGTGCTCCTTCAGACAGCTGGTACCATGTCCTGTTTAACAAAACCGAAGTTAAATAGTTATATGTACTCAACAGTCAGCTTTACAAGTATGGATAACTAGTTATTTATGTGCTTGATTCTGTTGTGAATTTGAGAAAAATCTGAGTAAAAATTGGGTTTCAGTTAAAAAGCAGTTGAATTGTCATACGTTAACTGTCTTCAAAAGAAATGCCAGACCAGCTGCTTAAAGATGTGGTGCTCGCAGATCAAATGCGTAGATGCCAGTATTCCCTGGAAATGTGTTACTGCGTTCTACGTAGCACTGCTGCTACGTACTGTGGAGAATAAATCTAATTCTGACACTGGTTTATTGTTTTACTTGTTCACAATTTAATCCAACATATTTGTTATGTGAGAATCTGTTTCCAATTTCAAAAGGGGCTGAAAAAAAAAATTCCAAGTTCGTTTGTCAGGCTGTTTACCAGGGAAAGCAGACTGGACTGGCGTGTTGATGAAAGCATTCACATTGTGCATTCCTACAAAATGAGAAGCTTTCACGTTGTCAGTCTGGCACAAAAGGCTGTTCCTAAAGTTGTCGAGTCAGTCTCTTTCACTTCAGTGTACGCATCAGCTTCATGGGAGCGGTCTGCAACTCGGACTGAGAGCTAAAGAAATTGCACAACGTGTCATTGTAAGGTCAAGTACAGCAAAGAGGACTGAGGCTGTTTTCCATCTATGTTTTGAATGGTGTTGGATATATCTAGCACTTAATTCCTAGTAGACATTGTTTTTTCTCTTGCAGGGTAGTGGCAGAGAATGAATTTTTACACAGTCTCCTAAGCAAAGTTACCGCGTCAAAAGGAGACAGTGGTGGACAAGGTAAAGTAGATTTTTTTTTTTGTTTAGTGGTTTTATGTTGTGGTTTTTTTAAGTAAAATAACGGAAGTCTTCTTGTACAACTCAGTTTGATGTTGCTTGCATTTTAGAAAAAGGCTTTTATGTTAGACCTGTAGAACTACCATGGAAGTGGATCAACTTTGAAGTTGAAAGTGAAGAATCACGAGTTTGTTGCAGAATCTTGGAGACTGTTTAAATTAGTAGCTACAGTTTTCAATTATAGAGCTTTTACTTTCAGATAAAGGAAGTGGAGGAAGTGAATTCTTATCATTGTTTGGTGGGTAGAAGAAGCAATCATCTCACGAGAGTTTGGTGGGTTTTTTTGCCATACCATAAATAATAATTCTTTTTAACAGGTCTCTGGGTAACTGTGAAAATGCTTGTTGGAGATGTGATTCAGACTAGGAAGGACTATCCACATCTTGTAGACAGAACCACAGTTGTTGCCAGAAAGCTAGGATTTCCTGAAATAATCATGCCAGGTAGGAGGTGCTTTGTTTTCTCACAGCAATGGATTTTTTTTTTCATTCCCTAGGTTATCATCTAAGCATCAGCTGCAGCCTTATTTACTTCTGTAATGGGTAACGCAGAGCCTCTTTAGAATTCATTCTTCATGGGAAGTTTTGTTCCAATATTAGAGGCTTACATAAAATAGTAAAATCCTTGGAAAGCATTTTCTAGTTCTTAAACAGAAAAAAATCAAGACAATGAGGGATAATCCCAGCTCCTTGTACATTGCTTTCTTGTCTTCGAAGTAGATTACAGTGGATGTTTACTTGCATTTTAAATTAACCTTGTTTTTATTGTAACTTATTACTGTCCTTTAATAATAATAAATGTATGAATTCACAATCTCTTCTTTTTTTTTTTGATTTATGGCAAGACATTTTCTAATTCAAGTCACTGACTGTCTGCAGTGCTCCTTTTTAAAAAACTAACACACACCAACCCCCAGACTCTTCAATTCAACTCTCAAGACTTCTTTTAAAAGAAGTCATTAATTTGCTCACAGGAGAAAATGAAGATAGGAAGTGCTCTCTAGAGAGCGAGCTGTGTACTTGGAAAACTCAGTAATGCATCATCTGTCACGTCACCAGCAGATGTCAGTGCAGGACGAGAATTGCTTCAAGTCGCTTTGAGGACTCCCGTTTGGTTGGTTTCACACCACGTTGTAGTATCTTCTTAGCCAACAATAATAGATATGAAAATTTTCAGTTCAGATGGAAAATAAGACCTTTTTATCTGTTTAACTGCAGAAAAAGAGGTATTCTGGTCAAGTTCAGTTGACCATATGCTCTCACAGAATTTTCATTGATTTTTAACCTTTCCATTTTTTTTTTTAGGAGATATAAGAAATGACATTTATATTACATTACTGTATGGAGATTTTGATAAATACAATAAAACAACGCAGAGAAATGTGGAAGTGATTATGTGTGTCTGTGATGAAGAAGGAAAAGTGATGCCAGTAAGTTTTCTTTTTCCTATATGATGGACATAGAAACATGAGTTATATTACAGAAGTAAGCCTTAAACTACTTATAAATTTTTATAAAATACCATTGTGCAAAAAAATGCACTTCCTTCACTTGTGTCATCTTGTGACTGATAAGTTTTATGTTTAAAGTGACATATCTATTAAAGTCCTATAAATGTCTTGCATAAAACTGTAATGAGACATAACACTGAATGACCTATTTTAGCTGTGCTGAAGAACAAATGCTGTTTCTGATAATTACTGTGTTCTGACTCTAGGGTTTTTCTTGTGGAAATTCCCAGAGAAATGCAATTGGTACATTGAAATGCTAGAAGTACAGTTTCTGCTATATAACAAACAATTTTTTGTGCCAGGAAGACTGTGTCATTGTCCTTTGAATGTAGTACATGGCAAATAACTAAAGAACTGACAACAGAGGAATGCAGACAATGTATATATGCAACATAAATATTTACAGTGTCTTTTTGCTTATCTATTTCACTTTTGAGGAATTTTTGTCTTTTCCTTAGGGCTTTTTCATACCAGTTCTGTGTACAGGTAGATTTTTGGCCTTTCTTTTTCTGAGCTTTACACTGTTCACTACATCAGTACTGTGATCATGAGGGTGAAATCATGATGATGCTTCTTGAGATAAAATTAAGATGGAATAACTCCTTCTGGTCCATGACTTGCTGTATGTTGATAAAATACAACTAAAATGCTTGACCTAAAATTTAACTTTAAAGCTTGAATGAAGAGAATCCTAACCCCATGTAATTCTTAGAGTCCATGCAACAAATTGTATCTTTGATTACAAAACACTGCCTATATATATATATGAAAACACCTAACTGCATGACTTGCATATACAGAGTTAACTCTGTTGTGAAATGAACTTCAGCAACCTCTATTCTGTCTATTTGCAGACAATATACTTAAAACACATAGACCTAAGTAGTCCTTAAGGAAATTAAATTAAATGCATTAAATCGTGCATTTCAATATTATCTATGTTCAGTTCTGCATGTGCACCCTTTCTTAAAATATCAGCAAAAAGTGGATTTGTCACTCTATGATCTGAAATATACGTTCCAATCATGCCTGCTTTCTGTGGGTAATATGTCTTTGACAAGTTTAAGCAACAATTTTGAGTTAATTGAAATGATGTTGAATGCAAGTAATAACAAAAGTGGTTTTCCCTTTTAGCCTCCAAAAAATGAACACCACTAAACTTTCAAACCCATAAATTTATCTTAATTTCAATGCTTCTGGTATCTATGAATCAAACAGGTACATATTCACTAAACAGGAAAGTGGTTGGCTCTGTTCAGGTATGAAACTAGTTGCAGTTGAAAAGCTAGCACTAGATTTACGCTTGCAAAAAAAAGGCTTTTTATTCCAAGTGCATGTCACAGAATATACATTCAGACAAGTTGGTGCATAGACCTTGAAAAATCTCTGTTCAGGCAGATAAGACATACCTTTCTGCAACTAAGTGACTCTGACCAGACCTTGCAAATCATCTTCAGGTATCAACATCACACCCTTCTTGTCACAAGGCATCATGATGTCTGAAGC